TTAACAGGCTGCCGTTCGCAAAGTATCAGAGATGTAAACTCGAAATTTGCACTGAAGGTACACACCCATCTGAAGTTGTTGTGTTCCAAATTTCAGCTTCCTATCTTGAAAACTCTGCCAGTTACAGCACTTTTAGTCTCAGACTTTTTTCCCAAACCAAAATATAAGCGATTTTCCTCTTGAAATCAAGGGTACAACTTCAAAGTCGATTTTCTCCAAAGTTTGAAAAAGTGTCGAATTTCTGTTTTCGACTGAAATAGATAGAAGACATGTTAAACTTTCGTTTGCAACAAAAATTAGACCTCTGGGGTCAAAATTGGCCGAGTTATGGCCATTTTAGTTCAGGAGTGGTATCGGCGGTCTGCCTATAGCGTTTTTCTGCACTGTATTTTCAATGGGGTGAAGACCAAAACTTTGACAGGCTCTCGTTCCAAGGCTATCAGAGCTGGAAAGTTGAAATTTGCACTGAAGGTAGACGCCTATTGGAAGTTGTTATGCTGCAAATTTCAAGTCCCTATCGTGAAAACTCTGCCTGTTACAGCACTTTGAGTTTCAGATTTTTTCCCGAACCAAAATATAAGCAAATTTCCCTCTTGAAAATTCGGGTGCAACTTCAAAGTCGATTTTCCCGAAAGATTTCAAAAAATACGAATTTCTGTTTTCGACTGAAATAGATGGAAGACATGTTAAACTTTCGTTTGCAACAAAAACTAAACCTCTGGGGTCAAAATTGGCCGAGTTATGGCCATTTTAGTTCAGTTTTTTTTTTTTTTTTTTTTTTTTTTTTTTTTTTTTTTTAAATCCAAACTAGGTCGGAATGTGGATAATTCTTCGTAGACTTTACATTGGAATACGTCATCGGGCCCCGTCAGCTGATCAAATTTTATATATGGTTATTAAGCGCCCTGTAAAATGGATAATCAACTAGTTGATATTGACTATGAAATATTGGTTAGAAATAATAACATGTATGACAATGTTTTGTTGCTGTGTAGTTATTCTTGTGTTTTAATTCATTGACACTTTTTTCTTATTACCGTTTGCGTTCTGTTCGGATATAGGGGGTATATTTATTTAGGAAGGTAAGCACCATCTTGATTTCTTTTTAGAAAATTGAAATATAGAATTATTCAATGTCTCTCGACGTTTAATATTATCTAAATAGTCTTCAGAAGTGATAGAAATGTGCAAAGATAGCTTGCCAGGCAAGGTAATATACGCCCACTGGCAGCTATGATTTTGAATGAAAATAGTTAGCAGTACAGTAACAAACACTAGTATGAAATATTTAACCTTCAGTCATACACTTCTTTTGATTTCTTTAGGGCGATACTGAATAATATTGAGTATGAGTTATTGGCCTAGTTCTTGAAAACGTGTTCAATGTCTACATTTCTAGTGCATGCTATTGTTCCAAGGATGTGATTCGCTCATAAAATATTATAAGGTTTGATATTTAAACACACATTTACCTCCACTAAATTTTCCGTAAAAGATGGCTCACACTTCGAGACTGAAAATTTCCATTCCCAATTGTAAATAAAACAGTTTCGGATTGCAGATGTCTTCCAATTCATACAAAAATATTCTGCAAAAGGCGACTTTTGTCAACATTATGGCCAGTCAGTAATAACCACAGATATCTTACGATACACTTTATTATAAAATATAATAACAGCATTGTAAAACTGTTTCTAGTTGAGGTGATAAAATATGTTTAATTCACTATCAATGTGAATATTAAGTAAAACACGAGGTCGATCACGACTTCAGTTCACGTGGCCTTCAACAGAATATTTATACCTGTGAAACATGTGCAGTGCGGTTCGACTAAAAAGCGCAAGCAAGAGCAAACGAGCGCAAGCAAATGTAAACAAGCGCAAACAAGGGTAAAAAGCACCGAAAACCGATGATGCAATTGAATCAAGCAATGACTGTTTCAGTTCCTTTCAAAGTTTAATGCAAAGACTCTTGAGGATGACGGAAGAATGTGAATCTTCGCCCGATTACATCACATGATAATTATGGTTATTGGTTATTTCACAATGAGGCAATGATAATAACAAACCAAGAATTCATTCCTTTAATAATCGTTTTGTATGAAAATTACACAATTCCTACTAAAATACTGAAGGCTTTATACTCCATATAACAAGAAAGTAAAATATATCTTCAATAAACAGCAAGCCGGAAGTCACCAAGGCTTCAAGGGGGTTAAAATGGACAATTACGTTTAACTAGAGTTGGGCCATTCTAGATTTTACAAATCTCCTTCGCATACTCAAAATGATAGAAAAGACAATGTTTGATTTAGCAATCGTCCATTAAAGATTTGTACACTGTCCGCGAATGGCTCCAATGGAGTTAAAATGCGGTCAAAGTAGATAAAATTAGCTATGCGCAGTCTAGTTTATTATAGATAAAATTCATTAGTATAAAATAAGTTGGTCTAAAAAACCGCACCTGAGGTGCAGAAATACTCACTAAACAGGGCCTAGATTTTCTGTCATTACACCAGCCGACAACATTCAAAATCAGAGGCTCAAATAGAGGTAGATGTTTCAGTCTTGTGGACAATGTCAACACACCTTGTAAAAATGTCAAAATAACTATTACAGATAAGAAAAATGCAATTATTAATAAAAGAAATTTGGAACACAACAACTTCAGATGGGTGTGTACCTTCAGTGCAAATTTCAACTTTACATCTCTGATAGTTTTCGAACGACTGCCTTGGTCTTCACCCCAACCAGTACTATAAGACTCTATAGGTGTACTGCCGACCCCCACCCCCTCGCTAAAATGGCCATAACTTCGCCAATTTTGACCCGAGAGGTATAATTTTTGTTGCAATTGAAAGTTTAACATGCCCCCTTATCCATTTCAGTCAAAATTTGAAATTCGGAATTTTTTCAATCTTTCGAGAAAATCGACTTTGAATTTTCAAGAGGAAACTCGTATATATTTTCTTTGGGGAAAAAGTCTGAAACTAAAAGTGCTGTAACAGGCAGAGTTTTGAAGGTAAGAATTTGAAATTTAGAACATAGCAACTTCCGATGGGTGTGTACCTTTAGTGAAAATTTACCCCCGCCCCATCGGACGTAAACCTGGCCCCACCACTGCATGTAGGTACAGTATCAATAAACAAAAAAAAGAGACTTTTTGAACTTTCTTCATTGGTCACTCATTCAAATTCTGTTGATAATTCTCTAATTATGAATTAATTATGGACATCTGAGACAAGCTGGTATTTGTCTAAGTCACTAGAACAGCTCTACTATCTATACATAAGTATTGGCATTTTCATTTTCATATAAAAATAATGGAACCCATCTTTAAAGCCAGAGTAATTTTGCATGTGAGCTTTACATCTTCCCTTTATTCTTATGCTGGATGATTAAACAGAAATACTCAATACTTTTTCTTCAAAAATTGATGTTTTTTATCCCGTTTCTGAAAACGTACACAAATTGTAAATGTCTTCGTTTTAGTATATTACCATTTCGCTAACATGTTTAGTACATTATCTTAATATAATGTGCGTAGTGAATTATTTAGTATGTTCTGTATTGTATAAAGCATCTCTTAATATGATGTTCATATTAAATTATTAATTACGTTCTGTATTGTATAAAGCATCACTTAATATGATGTTAATTGGAAATTATTTAGTATATTCTGTTCTTTTAACTTCTCTAAATATGATGTTCATAGTAAAGTATTTAGTATATTCTGTATTGTATAAAACATCTCTTAATATGATGTTATCATGTTTTAGTACTTGTTTGATAAAAAAAAAACTATAGCTATCCACTTCTTTATTCACAAAAAAAATACAAGCAGCCTACATAACTGGTCCTAGACACCATGGTTAAATTTCTTCTTCCTTTCATCAACAAAACCAATTCTTATTCACCTTTATTTCATTGTCTTCATTTTCCATTTTAAGTCTTAGGATTTTTTATACTAAAAGTAAAATGAGAAATAAATATAAGGATAGTTCGAAACAAAGGCAATCTACTTGTACTAAAAGTACCATGTAAGTGACGTATGTTTTTCTTACCTGGTCGTTCGGAAGCCTTAAGAAGTACATTAAAATAAGAGTATAAAGGTGTCAAAAGTCTAACTATCCACCCATCCACATCCAATTTTGAATCAAAGAGGAACTGGACATCAGCTTTTAATTCTAGAACGCAATACAGATAATTTACCTGAGCTCTTTCAGCTATTAAAAGAAAAACTTTCAGTAGTCTAGAATTTTCTAAAGTCTTTTCAAATTACTTTGTTTTGGATCATAGGGGAACTGAAGATCAGATTTTAATTCTGAATAGTGACACAGAAAGTTTAACTGATCTCTTTAAGCAGAACCAAAAGGAATCTTTTTGCAGTATATGGTGTAGGTCTACTAGTATGTGGTGTCACGGCAGCTTCAAATAAATCTTGGATTATATAAGTAATGTAGCATAATTATATTAAAAGGACAGCTGCACCATTTTTTTGACCAATAATATTTCAGTCTCAGAGACAGGTATTTTTTTTAGCTAAGCCAACAAGTAATAGAGTTCACAGCAACAAAATTTGAGACATCAAATCTATGTGTCCAGAGGTATCTGCTTTTGAGAATTAAATAGATGAGTCGTCTATTTAACAGACACTGCCATATATATACAGAAAACACACATATAACAATAGAAAAAAAAATTCCTAGTTTGAGATATTTTTCAATGAATTATGCCATTTTTTACATTTCTAGCTATTTACATGATTGAAATCAACCCCCAAAATTGAGCATCTGTCCCTTTAAAATGTTGGCAATATTTGGATAATAATATTAAACCTGACCTTATCAACAATCCATTTGGTATCTTCTATAGCTCTTTCTATAATCTGTTTAATTCTTTCTGGATTAGTTTCATCAGAATGGCTTCTAAATGACTAGGAATATAACAAAATATTGATATTAAATTTCAAGTTTAGAGGTACATGTAGTAGTCGTTAAAGGGACTGGTTTTCCAGCCATTTGACCAATATTACTGGAATCTAAGTCTCAGAAACAATATTTTTTAGCAAAGCTAATCAGTAATAGTGTTTAAAGCTGACTGTTTAAATTTGAGACATCAAATCTATGAGTCCAGAAACTTCATTTAGAAGTTTAAGTGATGACTCGACTTTTCTTGAGACTATGACATACATCGAAAAGGCATAATAAAGAAATAAAATAAAAAGCTAAATTCTTGTTTGAGGTACCGTATATAGAAGGTAGTTTTAGTTGTTCTGAAGACTATTTGCATATTCAAGACCAAAAACAACTCGTGAAAATGGGCAATGATCTTTACAGATATCGAACTTCTATGATGTGATGATGATTTTTATGAAAGAAAGTTAGAGAATAGGTGTTAAAGAATCTAGTGATCTTTAGGCCTAATGAGTCATCTTTATAATGTTTCCAATTGACAATACTTTAAATAGCTACAACATCTTACAAAAGTCCATATTGCCCAAATGTTTAGCCAAGGGCTCAATTTCCAAAAGGAATTAAAATAAAATAGGAGACACTATTGGGACTTTTGATGGACAACTTAGATTTTTGTGTGCAAGAAGACAACAACTCTCTGACTACACTGTTTTCTGAATTGAATTTTGGCAATCAGTTTCTAATGACTTGGAATATCAATTATAAAATACAACTAAGAATCTTAGCTTGCTTGCCTTTGGGTTGCGAAAATGTTAACCACTGAAAAAATGGCCCCTGAAAAAAGAGGCTGGCCAGGCTTTGGCCCTACCAATTTCAAAAATTTTAACAATTACATAGTGAAACTGAAAGAATATGGTATTTTTATAATAATATAAGTAAATCGGCCTTGTGGCACCTGTTTTGCTTGATGTGAATAAAATTCCTTCGTATCTTTTGGAAGACTTTTAAATGATCTTAAAATAAATCTATACAGCTGTGCCGGTGTTTCTATCTTCATGTCTCAAATTAACGTGATTGTAATGTGAACTTGCAGGATTTGATAATTTGAACTAAAGTTGATCGGCCATTTTGACTAGATCACATGACTGTCACGTGATAATATTATAGTATGGTGGATTAAATGCGCAAATCACACATTCAACAGCTGCAGTGGTTGGTACAATGGCAAGATTGTGCGGTCGGGTTGGCTCTAAAATTATAATACTGCAAAATTTCGTGTAGATTCCATTTTTTTATAATGCACAAATTGAATTCTGAACCGCTTTCCGTTGATATCTGTTTTAGACGCTCATAGTCGAACCCCAGACTATGTTTTAAGTAGGCCTATTCTTTCTGAGAAACCCCCAAGAAGTTAGGAAATTAGATGGCCTAAATGCTGTTTGTTTCGGAACCATTATGAAAAAAAGTTTGAATTGGCCAAGAACGATTGCTTAACCTTTATATGCTCCCGTGCAGGGGCGTATACCCTATCAAGAAAATGCCTTTGGAGGGGGCCAAAATTAGAGGTGTCACTCCGAGGCTAGGGTCTGAGGCCTGCTAGCCCCCGCAACCTAATGGGTGAGATGAGGTAAAGTCCCTGGCACAGACAATCAAAAGAAAAAAGATTTGCATCAAATTTATGACCTGAAGAATAAAAATCAAACAACAGAATACTATTTTATTTTATACACATAGTTTTCATTGAGGCAATGAAAGCCCATTCTCTTTTAAAAAATATCTTGGCTCGTGTCCCATTGTAATTAACCAAAATAGCGCTTTAATAACTGCCAGATTCTGGTCGAGTCACAGTAATATTGTGATTTTCACGATGATATCCAAGTTTTTTAGCGGCAAAATTTACAGCAGACGATGCTACGTTCTTGATCTGATCTGAACTAAGTCCAATTTTTTCAGCAAACATTCCAAGTTTATCTATATAACTTTGAGGCTTAGCTTCTCGCCTTTTGGACATGATCACTGATGATGTTATGATTACCACGAAAAATATTGTTATTAATAGAAACAGGCAACAAACACAAGATCGTCTCAAACAAAACCGAAAAGCCATATTGAAACCAACTCGATCAGTTTTATCCCGCCAAATCACAGATTACAGTTGACCTTCAGAATATCCACGTTAATCTCTATAGGCCTACAAATACAAGCAATTGTTTAGTTTAGTTCTTACGATAAGTTGTCCAGATTCAATTATGTTCTTAATCCAAGGTAGCATATATTTTTCGAAAGCACGAGTTGGGATTGTAACTACTGTAGCTTCGTCAGTCGTCACATAGATTAGATCCGGATCGTATAGCCAGATAAGTCATTCGCTTTTGATTTAGTAGGCTACGCCTATCAGTCGTTCATTTTTCCAATTTCCCAATCACAAATTATTCTTCACAGCATATGATTATAGAATTGTTGTCGTTTAATAACAATGTGACATTTTTAAGTAACGATATGTAACATTTGTTTATCATTTAAAATTTCCCACGATAACTCTTCCCGTGTTTGATGGTAAGTACGAATGGATAGTTAAGTAGGCCTACATAAAATATGCCTATTATGGACAATTAGATCCCTATACTTGCAACCTCCCAATGATGCGTTATTACAAACTGCGTAGCATATGCTTATACCTTTACTGCAATAGTCACTTTTCGTACATCATGGATGTCTGTGATCACTAAGTCATAATGTTTACAGCCTCTCTGTGGAGGGCTCTGGCGACAATCCAATCAATTCTTTAAAGGCTGGTATGTCAAAATGTTTCAATTTATAATGCTGTAATTTGGTGAAAAGATGTTTTAAATATGAGGTCAAAATATTATGATACCTAAAAATCCTGACATGAAAAGTGTTATCGTTTTTGTTTTAAGACACCCGATATATGAATTACATTGAAACATGGACATTTTAAAGGGATTGTCAAGAGGTTTTCTAAAAAACGTATGTGCATCGGGGACACTGATAACATCAATTTGCATCATGCCAATTTTCAATGGTTCCTGCAATTCCACCAAAAACTACTGATACAACAAGTGACGTTTCATTTTATCTCTATGCGCATCCCAATACATGGACTAGGATATTACTGAAATGTTTATTTCTTCTGTAAGCTGTAACAAGTCTCATGCTGTAGACATGAGGATATTATTGGTCTTGGAGATTCTGGTAGTGGCGTCTGATGATATTAGAGGCATTAATGGCAGTATGATTATAGGTGGTAACAAAGGGTATTATCTGGTTGTGTTGAATATTTAAGCCATTAGGATATACTGTTTGAAGTTGGTCCATCCAATAACTCTCGCGTTGTAATCTTCTTTGCTTTGGCTTGATATTCGGCATAGGTTGTATCTTTTCAATAGGCTTAATCAACAAGTCTTCAATGGAATGGTCGGGTTGGTTAAAATGATTGGAAATCGGTCTGTTTTTGCCATGTACTAGATCGTAACGATGGCCGTTAAAGCGTATGCAGGTATATATTAATGAGATCTCAGTAGAGTTCAAATTTGTCTGTGTAGTTGAGATCTTCTTTGAAAATTTCAGACACGAGAAGGGTGTGATAATTGAAAGCATAACTGTCTCTAAATTGATGAGATGTTCGGGGTTCTCTTGAATATTGGTTATTATGAAGATCTGTAATATATTTTTGGTCAAAAAAGATTTAGTTATCATCTCTGAGCTGCCAGTGGACGTATAATGTTACCTTTCCTGGCAAGCTATCTTTTTTTGACATTGTTAGATTATTCTAAAAACCGCGGCATATTTTTCAATTTCATATTCTACTAGCCTGGACTAAGTTGAAAATCTAATAAAATATTTTAAAATCTTTTCTACGGATAATTCTAACAAAAATGACAACGTGTCTGTCGGAAATTTATTTTTATTAGGTTGATTAATTGAAATATTACGTCAATCAGTCAGTATTTATCACTAACAAAGACCATTTCTGACTAATAATTTCTCATAAACCACTCCTTTTCATAAACCACGCCTACTTTATACTACGTCATGATAAGGGGGCGTGGTAAGCAACTATCCACGTGTTTCAAGGAGATGATTTTTTCAAATGTAGCTATTTAACAAATTAGTCATGAATTAAAACTTGTTGGTTTTTGTCTTAAATTCGACAATTATCTATCTTCTTTGATGATATTGCTGTTTTCACGTAGAAATACATAGTGTTTAGTGGGGTCATGTGGCTGAAACCTGAAAAGGAAACGATAATAATCTCGTTGCATCTTGGGAAAATCGAGGCGTTGTCACGTGATTTCTTTGTGTGCTGTTCTCGCCGCGTGTGAGTCAGTGCTCCCGATATTGTCGGCTTCATTTATTATTTTCTTCACTTTATAACATCAAACATACTAGACCGAAGACTGGGAAACGACAAAAGGATATTTACGTAAAGGATATTTCACTGGATATGGGCCCACAAAGTTTCTATTCTTGATAATTGATGTGTTTAGTAAAATTTCTGTGCGAGTGTAACGTTGGCTTTTCGGAGTTGTAATGGCGGTGGTAGGGACTCGGCACGCCCGTATCATGTCCTACCCTACCCCTCAGAATAGTGCTCCTAACCCACAGGCTATCTTAGCAGCGGCTGTAGCTGTTCCTTTTTACCAGGTTGTTCAGCCTCAAGATGCCCAACCTGACAGACCTATCGGATATGGAGCATTTGGTGTAGTTTGGTAAGTGCTGTTTTCTCTCAAATGTTTGGTTGGTTGCAGCTAGACACATCCTTTATTATATTTGCCTTGGTTGAACTCTAGTGTAGAGCAAGTCACATTCCTTTGTCAGATGTGTTTAAACTTGAACACCTTGTAAGGGATCTGATGAAATAAGAGAGGTGGTGTCCTGTCAGTGTCTAAAAGTTTTAGTCTGTTTGTAGCCTACCTAATAATACTGACTAGGCCTACCCAACAATGTAAACACACGCCTAAGTAACAGAATATGAAATCGAAAATACTACTACTGACAGTCTTGGACTGCATATTTGGGGTGTAGAAAATGCCAACCACTATGAAATGATCTGTAGATCTGTACATAAGGAAATTTTCTGTAAATTAATCAAGCACCAACTATGGCTTCTTTAATGCGTTGGTTCAAGTATTTCATAGAGGTATATTTTGAAAGATCTAAAAGTAGAGTCAGAACTGAATCTTATAGTGAACATATTTTTGAATTATGGAAAAACCCATAATGATGACAGAATGTTATATCTGTGTAAGCTTAATTACTAAATTGAAACCTTGATCGGTATAAATTTTTGTTATTTTCAAGCTGGCTCATGATTGGGCCTACTTACAGCCTCATTTTTAAGGCGGGTAGTAGGTAATGGCATGTGGTTTTCTCAATTTGTCAACATGAATGTTGTTTAAAAGATAATGCAGGAGTCATTTTCAACAGTAAGAAATCACAATTAGATTGCCATTGCTTGAACTCTATGATCTTTATATTAAACCATTAGTCAACAAGGAGTGGTGATTCATGATACTAATACGGTACTATAAGAAGTTTTGATAATCAACTAAATATGTATGAAACTTATAAAGAAGGTTGGGATGGGGTGTTTGTTTTTGCCAGTACTGGTATTTGAATATCAATAAAGTCTACTTTGACTATCACCATTTTTTGAGGTCCAGTTACTAATTTCCATTCTTTGCACAAACTCAGGATATAAGCCTATCCCGTTACTGTTTGGAGAACAGAGAAATGGTAGAAAATTTGATGATGTCTTATAATCATATTGGTTCCACTTTGTAGTTGTACAGTTAACAAGAGTATACCTATTGGACTTATGTGGTATTTGTAGTGAAAATTCTGTAAAAAGTGAAAATTTATGTCTGGCCCTAATTGTGACCAAATTACATTTGAGGAATGGGTAGGGCCATTTTGAAGTATGCAGCTTTATGACAGGGACAATGATTTCAGGTGTTATATTGGTTTATAGGCAATCTGACAGGTAATTAAGGTTGAAATATGAATTAATATAGGTGTTAATTAGTCGACAGCTCTTTTTACCTTCAAAATCCCCTTAACATTCTAAGTATGTGCTAAATGTAAACTTGAAAACCTTTGATCCTTGAGGCAAGGTATATTTATGATATAAACATGTGGTCTCTTTGTTTATCAAATCTATTGTTGTTGATCGAAATGATAACAATAGAGGTTAATAGTGACTGTATAGCTTAGTCTGATACAGTAGGGGTCATTTTATAGCCCCTTATACCCAGTCACCATATGGTAAAACTAACTACTATTGTTTTCTTGACACTTGAACTTAGTCCTATTTAAAGGTCATCAGCCTTCATTTTGAGGTGTGCAATTATTTTAACAGTTTGCTGAAGTAACCTCAATTTAATGATACAGATCCTTTGTTTGGAAATCAGTTGCTGCCAACTTGTCTAGTCACTTTCAGCATGTGTAAAGTCTCCATGTTTCACCTGCTAGGGAGTCTTATATTTATGAAGACAAAGTGTAATGGCATATCACTAACCCTATTTAAAACCTTGTATATAAATGATTTATAAATATCACGCCAGTGCAGCTGAATTTTCACCTCAGCCTGTCACTTCGTATTGTTTTTGTTACAACCACCCTTATCTAAAAATGATGATTTAAGATTATAAAATATAAGGTTAAGCTTAAAAATGGAAAAACTTTAGGGTTAGGTCAAAACACTGAACTAACAAATATAAGGTTATATATCACAAAAATGAATTGGGCAATCCAGAGACAAGCATAAAGCTTTATAAATCTGTCTTGGCTGTAGATATATTTACAAATTTGTTAACTTCTTGATTCCTAAAAACCTCACTGTCCTGCCCAAACAACTTCTACATTGACAATTTGTGGAAAGATTTTAAATTTATTTCTTTAGAAGAAACTAATAGCATAGCCTTAATAAATTTAGCTGTATATGGATCTTGCTATTGAGACAGTTTTAAGATATCTAACCAAATTTTTAACATGATTTATCTGTCTAGTCTACATAGACTATATCTTAATTATATTGGAAATACCTCTCCACCTAAACCAATATGACTACTTTTGTCTATCTTGTGTGGTCTATTTTGGAAATTAGGTCATTCTGCTTCAGATATAGGTCATTTAATATATAATGAGGCCACAGTAAAGATAGACTGTATATTGAGGTCTATTGATGGATTCAGACTATACTCTATCAAATGATAACTTGACAATGAATGTCCTCGTTTCTCAATGGAATTAGTGATAAAAAAGAGAGTTGTTGAAAGCTTTTTAAATGATTATATATAGATTTAGTATGAAAATAACTTGTAAGATAAGATGGTGATGGTGTCTGTCTGTCTGAACTGTTTAATATCTTTTGTTCAGACTTGTACCTATAAACTTTTTATTAGGTCGTCTCTTTTGTGACATTTTTTGTTTTTATGAATACAATTCTATTTTGAATGACTAAACTGGTCCATACAGGTACTTGTCGTCCAAATAGTAGATTAAGGGATTCTTATTCTAGACATTTATTACTTGTTAAGATATGCCAATGAAGTAATATAAATATTTGGGGGTCTTGAAAGATGTTTGAATAACTGGGATGTGGAAACATAATTTCACATAATTCTAGCAATTATATATTGAAAAACTTTGCAGAGCGAGTAATTCATATTATGGTTTAGGAATCCAGAATTCCTAAAAATTGCTTTAAATATGATAGTTTTCTACTAGTAAGCTTAGTATGAACTAGGAATAGAACAGCTTGATAGTAAATTCAGAATAACAGAACAAATTCTGATATATTATGGTACCGGTATACCATTACATGATGTTTTGTTCATTCCAATAGAACATACCGGTACCGTACTTCAACATCTGTGATTGGCTGATACCAACACACTACCAAACTCTTTACACTGACATAATATCTGAACTCTCCTTGTGGTGATCTGGATCAATGATAAACTAGGCATAGCCATGTAGACAGACTTGAAAACAATGTCACACATTCTCGAGAGATAACTTGGCGCAGTAATCTATGGCATGCTTTCTCAATAACTATGGGATTGGATATAGGCATAGGATGAGATAATATCTGGTTTCCCTTGGCTATCATATGTCTATAATGTCAAAGTGACAGACAGGTCTATATATAGTTGTTCAGATCCATGGAACCAAGGGGCTGGGTGATAGGACAGTGCAATTTAAAGTTAACTACACAAATAACTACACAAACAAAGTGTTAGCTACCATACTGCTGTTCTGTGAAAATTTGCCTCCTCTTATTGGATGTTGCCACTCATCAAAAGAAATGGGATCAGAAAAGTAGGAAACAAAACTCATTTCATTTTACATGTCAATCCAACTTGCCACAGACTGTGTATAAAGCATTTGAATTAAAAATATGATTAATGTTGTTACTTATGCATCTGTTGCCAGTACTATGCAGTTTATAGTGAGTAAATTCGCTATGATATAACAATTTATTATAATTTGTGAATATAAATTTATAGTAGGATATTAATGACAATAACACCTGTCACATACAATATTATATATCTTAGAATATCTTTAGAATCAGAATGGAATAGGGGCTTTTGAATTTGTGAGCTGAACATTTTGACATGTTAATTGATATATTTCAACTTTCATCTTGATATAGGGCAAATATAGCAGGCCAGTGATGGTAAAAAGCTATTAATGAATTCGTTGATACCCAGTGGAGCCATGGTTTTAAAGTCGTGGGTCCAATGTAGTTCTGTTTTACATTGGTGTCTGGGTCTGGGTCTGGGTCTGGATACATATCAAGGCAATATCGTTTTCTTAACTTTTTTAGTGTATTGGCATCAATATGCACCATTCCAATTTTCATTCGCACATTTGGTTCTTGCAATTCCACTAAAACTAAGGCATTTTATGACGTCACTATAAAGAACTGCATATGTTAATAGTAGTTTCCAGTAGCTCCTCTCTAATGACATCATAAAACACATTAGTTTTAGTGGAATTGCAAGAACCACAAATGTCTGAATGAAAATTGGGATGGTGCAAATTGATGCCATCGGTGTCCCTGATACACATAAAAAGTTTAGAAAATCTCTTTACAATCCCTTGAAGGTGTTATCCTAAATAAAACACATTTTAAGCTGATGCAAAAGATGATCAAGAAACTAATAAAAAACAGGAAATCTTTTAAACTGATCTAAAAACTACTCAACCATAATCTAAATCAACAAATATTTTTTCTACTGGTTTGATTGAGGTTGAAAATAAAAGGTGAAATGTAGGCCAAATGTTTAAATTAAAACCAACATGTAAACAAGTTTGTATGTTTGTTGACCTCTAGACAAAACATGCTTGTTAACATAGTACATGTATGACTTGGGAAACAGTCCTTTTTGTCATGTAAAAGGAACAATGATTTATATCCATTATGTATAGAAGCTGGTGGTAAGAATGCTCTCCGTCTCCACTAAAACTAAGCATTACTAATCACAAAATATGCTGTATCACATAAAGACATCGTGATTAGTGACGTCATAAACTGCTTTATATTAGTGGAATTGCAGGAACACAAAGGTCTGGTTAAAATTGGAATAGTGCAAATTGATGTTATGAAGTGTCCCTGATACACATACAAAATTTAGAAAACCTTGTTACAATCCCTTTAATTGTGTACATACTTCAGTACGATTTGTTGGTTTATTGCAATTCTAGGCAGGCTACAGAATGATTTAATTAATGAGATATAAATGAAATTCTTCCCTTAAAATGACCTTGGTTTTATTGACTTCTCTTTAAATGCCTAATAACTGAATGAATGGATGGTCAATTTCTAATGGTCAGCTATAGAGTGGTATTAATATGTTAGTTTCAATGATTGTCCCTTGTTTGACCTCAATATATCTCAACTGACCATGGTGGGATAGACTAACAACTTGTTACTGTAGTACAAAGGTTTGACTTGTTGGTGCAGTTCACATGTACTGAATTACTAAAATCATACCAGATAAAAGTTCACTTGTCAAGCTGGGATGATTTGAACAAAGAAAAATAAAGAAATCAGACGCTCAAAACAAATTTCTTAATTTCTCTTATTAATTGTAGACTGTTTCTTGAACACACAATCAAATACTTAATCTTTGTCATTTGTCAACAAGTTCAATAAAATATTTTACATCAGTTAGTTTTATTTCATAGCAAGTAAATACATGAAAGAGTGTAATGTTCTCAAAATTTTGATGTATAATTTTTTCCCCAGTTTTAAAAGTGCCAACAGAATCCTCCAAAATTCAAACATAAAGTGTGCTGTTTTCAAAATTTTGATACTGTACAAAAGTAGTGAATAAGCTTATATAGTATTCACTCCATGAATTTGCATAATTAGCATTTCATGGCATTGTCAAGATATCAAATTTGAATTTTTTTGAATTGGAAGGCAACCAATGAAATTGAAGATGAGATGAGAAACTGACAGATGTTGCTATGGTAACCGTTGACCTGAAGGTGGACATGTTTACTATATGACAGGTGTTGGTGTACTATTATAAAAGCTACAGGTGTAATTTCTGACCATATTCATTATGAATCATTTATTATCATAACATCCATTATTCATAACTCATCAGGCTATATATAGAGATTATTTAATCTTTTATCAATAGAAATTATATATGATATAACTACCTATCTGCTGTGGCAAACATTCAATTGTCATCTACCTACCTAACATGTAAATCATAATTTTTGAATTATCCAATTTCATGGATGTAATTTTATAGGTCATGGTTTTCCATCTTTGGGGGTTGTTTTGGGTCTTGAATATATAATATATATAAATATATATGTAAATAGTCTCTAGAAGAACTGCATGAAAATTCCTTCAAATATACATGTACTGGTACCTCAAAAAGAAATTCAATTTCCATTTCTAAATACTATTTTTTCTTAATATGACATAGTCTCAAGTGTAATCTTTTTAAACTTTCAAAAATTCCTGTTTCTGACAATTGGTCAAACGAATGGCCGTGTCCCTTTTAGCATAGCATAACATGATAAATTTCTTTTCCATAAGAAGAAGGACAGAAAATAATATGTCCTCATAACTGAATCGTGATTTTTTTGTGTAAAAACTGTTGAAATGTACAGTTTGTTATTTAGTATCGCATTATACAACACTTACAACTATTATGCTAAATTTCCTCCTTTTTTGCAAAAAAATGTGCTTTGCAATTTAAAATTGAAGGAAAAAACCAGTCAAATTATTCATGAGATGTATATATAATGCATTGGATAACTCAATAAGAAAATATCTTCACTGTTAAAATAACTGCTCAATAAATCAATTTTACATAAGATATAGACATTTTTTTAATACATTGTATTTGAATAAAAAATTCACTTGATAATAGAAGAAAAAATTTAATTTTGTATTCAATTACTGGTACAGAATATCGTTTTGTTCTTTACAAAAATAAAAGTACACAGGATGTTTAAAATTTAAAATATATTTTAATTTAAGTATAAAATGATAATAGACTATAAAACAGCTAAACTTAGTTTATTTTGATTGATTAGTTAGTTATAATGAGTTCATTATACCATTAGGTTGTACTAACCTACCTCACCTCCATGTCAAATGTTTTAAATGCATGTTGGTTTTGAACTCTGAACATGCAACGGAGCAAAGTTGCTTCAGTACTGATTTTTTTCTGAAATCTTTAAGTGAATAATCAGGTGTTGAGATTCATGAATCTGAGGCTTTTTGTTAGAGTTTTATATCTAAATAAGAGGCCTGTAATTTCTGATTTAACGCTTGTACATACTATTTCAAGGGTTTGCGAGTCATTTTTCTATAACCCTTAACAAGGATATTGTTCAAACTTTCAGTGTGACATGGCATCATCAATTAATTTGACTAATTAAGAGATAAAAACTAAAAATGTTTGATGACGTCACAAATCGCGAAGTGCCTCATGTGATAAAGCATTTTGCACTTTAATGAAGTCATCAAACACTTAAATAATGGAACCAGACATCTGATTGAAAATTGGAATGGTGCAAATTGATGCTATCAGTGTCCCCAATATAAATAAAAGATTTAAAAAAAACCTTTTCACAATTCCTTTAGTGTTGTAAAATTTCATTGAACTTCAACAAGTGCTATATTTTATCATTTATAACTTATAAATATTTCAAAATAAAAGGTTTAAAATTGGCACACACTTGGGTCGCATGCAATCAAAGATGTAAGGTGAAATATAAAGTTAAAGCATTTAAGTTTGTCGTTAGTAAATGTTAATTTTGAAATGAACTCATTAGTTAAAGTAGAATTAAGACTAGGTGTTGACATTGACAGGTACCTGCCATAATGTAGTTCAACATGAATTTATTGACCTAGCTAACTATTGAGCTTTTAACCTGTATACTGATCACATATTGACCTCAACTTGTCACTAATAATGACAACTTGACTAGAATACTACCTCATATATAAGTATTTAATTTTGTATTGAGGGGAGGGGAGTGGGGTGGGGTATTTTTGTGAATTATTAGAGCTCATCTCTTGCTTTTCATACACATGGTTTGGATACAAAATCCACACCAGGACAGTCGCTATTGTAAAGGAAGGACGACTCAAAACACAAATTCTTAGTTAACCCTTATTGAAATTGCCTACGATCCCACTTCAACAAAGTGTCTTCAATATATGCAAGTGTTAAGCTAATCTATTTTGTCATTTTCTATTGTCATTTCATTATTTTTTTTAATCATTGATATTATCATGGATATATGATATATATATATAGAATAATTATTCGCATGTTATTTCAGCTCTATTTCATTTCCTAATTAATTTTATAGTAATTACATACAAAACATCATCCAACATTTGAATAGCTTTTGTACATGATCTGGATATTTTGTTTCTATTTTCTGAGCAAATTAAAGAATAACAAGTTTTTTGAATTATTCCAATTATTTTGTTACAATTTGAAAGCAGCCTCAAAATAGTATTGTAAATCTTATAATGTCTTTGCGTTGATAAAAATAAAATCATAATAAGCACTCTGTCATATTGGGTTGAAAATTCTATGAGAGAAAATTGTTTCTTTTCAATGTGTAACTGTAAGCTTACAATAGATTATAATTTTAACAAATATATCCCAAAAATTTCAAAAAATTTGCTCAGACAGTAGTTCAATATGAAAACTAATATCTGGCACACTACTATATTATCAGAGAATATAACTCAAGAGTCTGAAATTGATCTATTTGACTTATGAAAAGTTATTTTCTTCTTTCAGGGCAGTGACTGATCCTAGAGATGGGAAGAGAGTTGCTCTCAAGAAGATGCCAAATGTCTTCCAAAACCTGATTTCGTGTAAACGTGTGTATAGGGAGTTAAAAATGTTGTGCCATTTTAAACATGACAATGTAAGTAACTAGATTATTCTTTAGGATTTTCTATCGAACTGGTCACTAATTCTCCGCAATTTCCATTATCTTAGTCAACTTCATAGATTATGCATGTTCGTAACTCACTAGAAGATAACATAGATTTTTCAGCAATATGATTAATTTCCATGACTGTAAAATTCTGTATTTTAATTCATTATATTTTCAGGTATTATCGTCAGTAGATATATTACAACCACCTCATATAGATTTCTTTCAAGAAATGTATCCTTTAAAAGACAAATTTCAATACATGTTTAATTACTTATGGGTTCCATTTGTATTGTCAGGTCACTTAATTTTGAGTTAATAACTAAAGCTTGAGCTATTCAGACCATTCCATCTAAATCTGTGCCCGTAAGAAACATGTTGGAGCTATTGTCACCTCATGTTCCTTAATCAACAGTATGATGAGGATCATTGTACCGTTGCTTAAGGAATTGGCTTTGATTGGATGAGATATAATGAACAAATCCAATGATACATTCCAAGTCTTGCCTTGACGTTGACCGAAATTTGACTGTCAGGGTGGTTAGTTTAGCGATTAGTGAAATTAGGGGTTTAGTTTTAGATAACCTTAATTCTTAATTTCTTAAAAGTGTTACACAGATCTATCATGTGGTAAATTTAATTGTATGACTTGATCACTTTGATGATATAATGCAATACGTACCAATGACCTAGAAGTAAGAAATATGTAGACAGTTGATATATAAGACAATTTGACTATATGTCTCTAACATTCTGCTCTACATAGTTGAAATAATTCACATAATTGTATAATAATCACATTTAATCATCCATGCATATGTGAAAATATTCAGTAATTTACACAAAAATGGAAAAAAACATTGCTTATAAATTTTATCCATTCAAAATTTAAAATTTTTAGTTACATTGTGACTTTTTTGGATCATGAATTTATGTGCTTACTCTTTGTTTATTCTTTTCATCTTATATAAAACGAAATAGTTATTATTCGTGTTTGTTTGAAAGAGATTTTCGAAAAAAAGGCTGCAGACTCCTAAGAACTGTCTGGGTCATTCACTTCCACTATTCTGATTTCCTGCTTATATTGTCTCTGTAATTCACAAAATCTCAACCAAATTTTTTTGAGGTCACCATTATTTTGTGGTCTGGTGATCTCATGATTTGATCAATTTTTTTTTTGGGAATTTTCAAATCGTATCCACTTGTAAGCTAGGGAATTTCCTTTGTAAGAAATGTAAAGGTATAAGATATGTGTGTTTTTAATTCTGTTTTATTATTGTAAAAGCTTTCTAGAACTAAGCTTATAGAATAATGGTAAAAATTTGCAATTCAAACTGATGTCATTATTTGAAAGCCTAGGTTTATCTCCTATTTTATTGCTGATGAATGTAATCTGATCTTATTTCTATCTGAGTAATATCATATTTATTGATTGATATTCTCTTGGTTCTCATTGATTCCAGGGCCTGTCTGTAAATAGGTCGGGTGACCACAGGGATTTGAGAATTAGGTTGACTGATGTTGAGTTTTGAACTTTGATTAAGGATTATTAGTGATAAAACTTGTTGACCTTCGATTAAAAGTTTTTAGTTCATAGATGATAGGATTCTGATTATTTTCTGATTAAAATTTAAACTTATTACCCCTTCCTATCACTGACTCATGCACTTTTGTTTTTACAAATTTTCTTATTTCAAAGGTCAAAGGTAACATAGATTGACTTATAATTTTACAAATCTTTTGCATATTGGTGTTAAATTTTGATTTTGATAACTCTAGAAAAATTCAGTCATTAAGAAACTTTTTCAAATACAATTTCCTAACCATTACCATAAATGTATTGTTACTTTGCCTTCATTTGTCCCAAATTAAGTAATAGTACGGTACTTAAGATCGAAATCAGTGTTTTTCATTTCGGTACCAGGTACTGGTACTTATGACTATCAAAGTACTAGATTAAGAAGTACTAGGAAGTCAATATCCTCCATAGACCTATTGATTATTGATTGATAGGTGTCTATAAACATTTAACATTATATTTGTCTACCAGCTAATAAATTGGTGAATGCTTTCTTGTTAGTGTCTGGATTTGACATACTTTTAAAATTGGTCAAGCTAGAAAGGCATTGTTTTATACAAGTCTTTGATTTGTATAAGACTGTTTAAAGTAGTGCTCATCAAATTCAAACATTAACATTCTTCAATATAAAACATAACATAAAGAAGTGATTTGTGTCTATATATAGAATTCCATTGTTTCAACTGTCTGGAGCTGTATTTCTATAACATATTTCTATTTTACTTCCTGACTAAACTTTGATATTGAATTACTTCTCGGGGATTTTTCTGCTTCAAAAATAGAATTTGTGACTAAATCATTTCAAAATGTAGGTTTAAATTAGTTCTGGGTATCGTCAATCATGCCATGATACGATACTTTTGCGTTACAAGGGTTATGATTTGATACATATGGTGATATGGGGTAATAGGATGAAATTATCTTCAAAGTTTCAATATTTGTTAATTTATTACATTTTAACTGTGATATTTGGAAATATAGTTGATAGAAGTGGTTAGCATCCACTGTCTTATAAAAAGTTTCTAATAATTTCAGTGAAAAAATTGTAATATCATAATTAACAACTTGTAAAAATCCTCACTTTTTATGGAATAAAAGGTATTGCCAAGTAGCTATATGAGACGTTGCGATACGATACGCCTATCTTGCAGGTTGTATTGAGATACATCGATTCAATGATATATTGTGCCAGAACTAGTTTTGATTACACACGTACAAGTTTAAATCAAAGATTGACTCTCTATTAATATCAGTAGGAGAGGGTCATCTTAGTATTTATAAATTTTACTGGCTATAAATTTGTTCATAAAGAGAATTTGGTGCAAATTGGTGGTGATTTACCTGTCTGTATTACACTTTCTATGATCTGGCGAAATTGCCTTTCGAATCATGTTTAGACCTGGTGTATGTACAAGGTACCGTACTAATAACAATGTATAATCCAAGAATTCAAATCATTTATTGCAAAGTGCATTTCATTTGTTGAATATCTTTATAGTAACTTGTGATATGAAACATCATGATATATATTATCTTATTGAAAGAAAAAGCCCATTGAAATAAAACAACAATGTTCAAAGGAAGACAACTTATTTTGTCTGAGCCTATTATAACAATGATTATAAAAGATAAATGCATTACAAGTTTATTGTATAAAGAACAATAAAGAAAATAGCAGTAATGTACAAATTGACTGTCTAAAACAAGTATTCATGTATTGTTTCAAGGCTTATTCATAATGTAACAATGAAAATTGTACAAAAAAGCTCACATTGATGCAAAATTATAATGTAATGTATTGTTTAAAATTGATTAAAATGTTAACAGGAAAATACTTGATATTATCCTCAATTTTATATCATCTATGATGACAATCTACAAATACTAAATGCTGAAAGGATACATTAAAAGGACACCTTTTCTGACTTAAGAAACTACGCATGGTTCTATGTAAATAACACACACAAACGTAGTTCACAGCCACTTTGAATCTCTCCCTGGTCTCAAAAAGTCAAATTTGTTAAATGGCAGCAAATCACTTAAAAATGGCTTTACATGTGACTTAAAAGCTTTGTAGAAATATTATTGCGTGCATTCTTCATTTTTTGTTGAAATTTGGATTGACTTACCTTTTATTAAATTGTAAGCTTACATTGTGCCAAGCGAAATTGTACAAGATAATATTAAGATTGTAAATCAGACAAATATTCAATATTGAATGTTGTGATGTCACTTAGATTTAGACAACATGACTCGACTTTCTCATGAAAATAATACACAGTGTTACTAGAACCCTACGCCTACAGCAAATTATCACAGTGTTATTGATTGAGTGTTAACAAGGAATCTGTCTACAGAAAGTCGTTCAATTAGTTGACAATGTTCTTCACTTTCTTTCTTGTCTCTTTTCTTTATTAAACCTTCTTATTTATATCCCTTTCTATTTTCATCATAATCTAGTTGCCTAGACTGATGTTTACTAACAAATTCTCTGCCTCTGTCTTCTAGATCTAGTCTAGTAATGTTTTGACAATTTGAGAAGCTCAGACAATATTTGGTTATGGTACAATTGTTGTTGCTGCCTACTGTCAGCTATATGTATTTATATTTTTAGTGAAAAATTTTGAAATAATACTAGTTTTGAAATATTTTTTCAAGTTTACTTACTCAGTTCTCCTATCTTCTAGATCTAGTCTTAGACTCGCAATGTTTATAATAGTAATTTAAAAATAAATATTTAAAAAAAAATAGTAGAAGTATGTACAAAAAATGAGTGAAAATGTCATATGGAGGAAAGTGAAATGAAAATGTCCTACTTTTCTGCACCATGTGAGCTAATGAAGACAGGCAACGCCATGTAGGGTGCAATGAGGGAAATTTTGCCAGGATAGGCATTAGCCTGCTCTTTTTCGATTTCCAACTGTTTTTTTGTCCCATCCGAACGATTAGACGCTATTCCATGTCAGCCCCTCTTACCTGCATTACTGACAGGGCAAACCTGTTGAAAAAACCAAAGGTAATATCTCGACCTATGCCAGGATTGAACCCTGGACCTCCAGTCACATGGAGGAGGGACAAGTTGAGGTCATTGAAGCTGACAGGAAAAGGTTGCAAGTAAGACCCCTTCACCCACTGTTAGAAGTTCAAATTAAGAGTACTCAAATGCTGTTTTCAGGAAAACTTTCTCTCACAAAGTATGATGTAAAAATCCATTGTATGAGATTTTTTCTCTATTTTTGGACACTTGTTTTTCAATACTTTGATCTTTGTGAACTAGAACAAAAATTTGCTCTCCAAGTAGACATTCAAACAAAGAAAATATTTTCCATTTAATTTAGGTCAATAAATGTTGATGTAAAGTCTGGTAGATTTCCCTTGATTAAAAACAAGGTAATTAATAATATATAGTTGTAATTAATTATGAAATTCTTTAAAAACCAGTAATGCTTTCATACTTGATTTATTATCTATATTTTCTAGATATATTTTGATCTCAATATTCCAGACAGTGAAATATTGATTTTTCGGTGAAATAACACAGTCAATTTAGCGTTGAAAATCTGAACACTGCAAGGTACTTCAAAGTCTTTTTCTGTTCAATTTTGGAATTTCATTGAGCATAAAGACTCTTCTATATCAGTAAAATTAAAAACAA